AGCTTGCAATGCATCTGCTTTTTCACTGATATAAAAAAAGCATTTGACCTTAATCCAGCACACTTAAGTTCTAGGTCCTGCTTTACTTCTCCTAGATGACCGACTTTAGCAAATATTAGATTCATAGAGCACAAAGTTGAAAGGGTTAGTAGAATCCTCCCCAAAGCAGAACTTGGTTTCCACTAAAATAGAGATTGTGGGGGTTAATCCGAAGTCATGTACTACAGAGTGTTGTAAGACTAAAAATCACCACACTCCTCAGTCCCTTCAATGTGACCAACACTTGATGAGTTTACTCTATCACCTTGTATGCTAAAAGGTTCTCTCCTGATTCCCATATTATAAAAGAGGCACCAGCCAGGATGGCTTGGAGAGGACAGGACCTGAGGTTTAGTTACCCAAAAGAAAGACATTTAGCTTCTCCAATCCCACAGCCACAGACAGCCAGAGCTCTAAGGAATGTGCGAGATCATCCACTTTAAGCCCCTCATGAAGCATCTGTTGTTTTCAATTGTCCTGTACCTATTGCCCTTTCCTTGGTAATAGAAACTCAATTTTCTTTTGGAAACTCACTTTGCCCCAGTCTTGGTGGGGCCATCAATCAGTGTGTTCAGACTTCTCCTGGCCAAACATGGCATCTTCCTTCTAAGAATTTGAATCTTAAGCTAAATGACTCAAGTTCAGAAAAACCTGTTAGGTCTGATTTATTCCTGCTGTGGCATAATGAAGTGACTCTATTCATTCCTATTACTTAGAACCCTGAAGCTATCCTGCTTCTGACCCTTTCCTGAACCTCATTTTTCAACTTTCTCTTCCACTCTGTGAATTTTCATGTTTTTTAAAATAACATATTTTCATTTAGCCAGAGTGAGTTTCTATTGCTTATAACAAAAGAATCTTCTTTGATGCATCCTTCCTCTTAAAGACCAAGAACTAAGGCTCAAAGTACGCTGCTTGCCTAAGGTCAGGGATTAAGTTGGCACCAGAGACCAGACAAAATCCAGGTTAGCTAGTTTCTTTACATATCTGCTGTCTCCTCTAGAGATTTAGCAACCTTGGAAAAAACGAGCTATTCCACATTGCTAAGGTACCCAGTAGGACGTATTATTATTGAGCTCTTTAAAGACCTATTGGACTTTTACTTCTGGCCATAATTGAGTATCGGAGACCCCAATCTGTCCTTAATAACAAAAAGAAGAAAAAAAAAAAAGGGGGAAGAATCCACATGTTCAACAACCATAAAAAAGAACCAGTTACTCATATGTAACAACATAGGTATATATCAAAAACCGTGTGCCAAGGAAAAGAACCTAGACACAAAAGAATACATGCATACTGTGTGCCTTTATTTATGTGATATTATATATTTGCACTGTCCAACATGGTAGCCACTAGCCAAATGTGACTATTTAAGTTTAAGTTGATTAAAATTCAATGAAAATAAAAACAAAGATCTATTTCCCCAATCACATTAGTTACATGTGACTAGTGGCTACCATGTTGAACAGTGCAAATATAGAATATTTCCTTCATCAGAGAAAATTCTATTGGGTAATGCTGTTCTAGAAAATAGATATCTAGTATATAATGACAAAAAGCAAGAGAGTGATTGTCCAGAGTCGGTGGTAAGAGAATTAACCACAAAGGGGCATGAGGGGACTTTTGGGGTAATGGAATATTCTATATTTGGTTATGGTAGAGGCTACATGGTATATAATGTGTCAAAACTCCTCAAACTGAACACTTAGAATTAGTGAATTTCATTGTATGTAAATTACACATCAGTAAAGTTGATTCTAAAAGTCAAGTGTTTTATGGAAGTTCTTTTTTAATCACTTGTACTTACAATTAGATGATTTTTGCAACGATATAAACATGTTATTCAGCCACTGAACTGTATTTTGCTCGTCCCTGGGGATGCAGAAACAAATCAACTAGCAAACTCACCCTCAAACAGTTCACGGTCCAGTACAGAAGATGGGGCTTATGCAAAAATTGGTCACATCCACAAAGGAAGTAGCAGGTACCCTTACACAAGTACAGATATGAGTCAGGGACAGTAGAGGTGGGGGAGTTTCCTTTGACCTGGAGGGATGAGAAAGGCTTCCTGTTCTCTGAAGGATTTTCGAGCTGTGGATACATTCTGGAGGGGGCACAAAATATGATCCAGGGCAGGAGAGCAACCAGGAAAGTATGTAACCAGTGGATGGCATGCATAAAGAAGAGCTGTAGTGAAATAATTCACATGGACATAAGTGAGAAAGGTTTGTGTTTTAAATACCTGAGTTTGGCAGAGTGCACACTCTCAGATGCTAGGAGCTGGGAAGGAGAAAGTGTCTCTTTCTCTTGTGTTATGTCCAGAATTTCAGGTCATAAATGCTGCTGTTTCCCTCAAGTCTTTATCTTTCTCTTCCTTTTCATGCATATCAAAAGTCATCACAAACAACATCATTCAAACTTGTAGGTCTTGGTCAGAAAGGCAATTGTCTTTTCCTAGGCTTCTGTGTACCTCATTCTATTATAGTCTTTGCCTAAGAGACTTAAGTTGCTGGAAAAGCATGTAACTTGCACACCAAAGAAATAACTTATGTATTTGTAACCTGAGACTCTGGGGGGGTAGGGGAGACAGTTGTAATATTAATACAAGTGGCCATTATGGTAATTATAGTATAATTGTCACTTATTTTCCCAGGTTTTAGATGGTTGTGTGCTACTGGTGTGCTGTCAAATCTTAGAGAGTTTGCCTTTTTTGCCCTTGGTCAAGGTATCTTTCTGCATTTATTTCTGCAATGCAATAAGACCCATTATTTTTCATGATTATTTATGTAAAATTTTTTGCCATTTAATATCTGTCCTTCTTAGCTAAGTAAATTTAGGATTTTTTTTTACAACAGCTACTGATGTCAAGGCATGCATTTTAAATGTTCTTTTCTATAAATTAGGCTGTAAACATTTTGAAATTAAAAACATGCTAGAAATGTTGGCAAATTGATAACTTATTTGGGGGTCTAGGGCCTCTCCCGGTAATTTAAAATATGTAGACAAGTTCTGCTTATTTCCTAGAAGTAAATAAGTATCAGGCCTGAAAAGAGCACCAGGTCTTGCTATTCCAAATGTGACGCAAGGACCAGCAGCATCAGCATCACGTGGGAGCTTTTTAGAAATACAGAGTCTCAGGCCTTCCCACAGACCTACTGAACCAGAAGACGTGTTAACAAGATATCTAGGTGACTCACAGATGCATTAACATTTGAGAAGCACTGAACCAGAGATCGTTATTTCACCTCTCATTTTATAAATGGGAAAAACAAGGCCCTGTGTGATGGAACAACTTGGCCATGGTCAAAGGAAATTGAGTATTTTCAATTTAAGAACTTTGTATATTCCGGTCACCTGTATTCCAATAGCAGGAGTAAAGCCAAACACTCTAACTCCAATTAACAGATCTTTAATTAATTGGTAAAATGATCTTCCCTTCAAGTTTCACATTTTGTAGAACAAGCTGTTTGATTTGGCTGGGGCTCAGGCCAGCATGTTTATGAATTTCACAATTCACAGATGTTAGACACTCTCCTGCTAAGTAAGGGAAGAGAATGTCAAGTTTTAAATAGCTTCTCCCTTCTATCCTGGCTGAAGCAACAAATGAAATATTTTTATGAAACACATTTTGAAAACGAGAATTTCTTTTAAGGAAATGTCAAATTTCTCTGAAAAGGACTTTTGATTGTCTCACAACTTTGGCTATTATTAATGTTACCCGTTTGCAGGTGACCTGTGATTAGGGAGTGAGTGGAGGATGTGAATTTGTCATGTTAGTGACGCTTGGGCACACAAACTTTTTTTTTTTTTTTTCTGCTGGAGTCTATTTTAATTTAGCTTCTGAATCATATTTCATTCAATTTCTAAATCCACAAAACCAGGATAGGTTTACAGCCTGTATTCAGAAAGGAAGTAAATGATTCTGTACGTAGACTTTTCTGATATTATACTCATTTTTGGATATATAAAGAATTTAATGATTTTACTCTAAAGTAGGTCAAGCCAAAGCAAAACCAAAACCAGCGAAAACAATAAACATAATAAGAAAGTGAGACAGACCTATAGAGACTGAAATAAACCAGAATGTTTTCAGTAACAGGCAATTTAAAATAATTTTGTAAGCTTCAAAATAGTCTGAATATAGTAGTATCACTTTAAGAAAATCTTGTGTGTGTGTTTGAGGCAGGATATTTAAAAATGAAACACAACCCGATAAAGGTTATATTCTTCTATTTGGGGCAGGAAAAACTTCTAAGGGATGTGAATGGATACCACTTTTTCTTAGTTGAGACGAAGAGTGAGTTCTAGGTTAAATATAATCAAGGAATTTCCCTGTCTTTGCTATTTGAGATTGTGACCACAACAGGCGGTTGGCTGAAAGGGAGAATGGGGGAAGGGGGGGGGATGAAAAAAAAAACAACCTTCCTAAGCAGCTCTGCTAAAAAAAAAAAAAAAAAGCTCCAGAAGCAGTTACAGAAGTCCTCAAATCAAATCAGTATGCAGATACAAGGAAACGTTAATTAGCTGGAGCAGGATGGACACTCAGCAGCTCAGTTCTGTTATAAAAGTCCAGTCTGCTGAAATTAAACTCTGATGCCATTCATGCCAGCATCCAATCACCAGAGAGACCAGAAGTTCAGAGATGCCTCCAAGTTGCCCACAAGTGTGGCCACTATGCCTCCAGGACTCTAAAGCCGTGGTAGAGGGGGAAGAACAATTTAGAGAGGATGCCCAGCTGGTAAGAATCAACTGTTTCTGATGTTTGAGTCACTTGACGAATCTCATTGGCTAAAATCGAGAAACGCTCCGCCTCTTTGCAAATGTGTGTGAAGGGGGAAGTGTCTAAACTTCTATGTCTGATAGCATTTGACCCTATTGCTTTTAGCCTCCTGGCTTTATTATCTATATATACACAGGTACATGTGTATAGGTTCTATAATAGTTCTCCATTTGTTGATTATCAAAGAGAGTTGAAGGAAATGAATTGTGAAACTTCACGGTGTGCTACCCTACAGTACTGTCCTGACCCATACATCCAGCGGTGAGTTGAAACGTGACGTAACTTCTATCAAAACTTAATTGGAGTGCCTTGTGTATTATGAGTGTTTCTGCTGTCTACAAAGAGCAACCCCTCCTTGTTTAGGAGCACAATGATATTATTTTGGACTTTCTGTGAACTTAAAGTGGTCTGTGGGCATCTTTTCTAATTTTCTTTCTTAGTTCATGTCTGGATCTACAAAGTGACGAAGTTGGAAGATTTCTGTGGTTTCTTAAAAAAATAATTATCACACCATTTGCAGATGTTTGAAATCTGTTATTTGCCTTGCTCAGCACTCACCCACCCAAGAAGAAGAAATTTCATTGGTCAGGGATATAATAATCTATGGACTATCTTCAAGTCAAAATTAACACGGAGTAATTTTGATTTGTACATTAAAAATAGATGAATAGCCATTGTTATGCCAACAGATTGTGGCTTGTCATTTTGGCTCTAAGAAATATTTTCTTCTTGATTTGTTTCATAACAAACATCATCTTTTGACAAATCTGACTTTTAAAATTTATGATTGTACTGAATTTTATTTATGTTTATAGGAAGGAACATTTGCCTAGCACTAAGAGGGAATATTAGTGAGTGTGCATGATGTGTGTGTATGTGTTTCAAATTAGAGTTTGCTATTTTTAAACTGGTAAATGAAATCTGAACAGTGTTTTTCCAGTCATAAAGTTATGGGAGATATTTAAGTCGTATGTAGCGTGTGATGTTGTTAATTTAACAGCATGAGATTTGATGTTGGAATTTCATACTTTATTTTATAAGACTAATGAGAGAGGTCCTCTGAGTGTTGAAAATGGTGGGGTTCCAAAGGGGTTAACTTGTCATTCACCACCGAGGCTTGTTGGAAGCTCATACCAGAAGTGGAGTGGGCTTTCTGGGCAGGGCTCAGTTACTGTCACATTGCCTAGGCACTTACGGAAGATGTGTGATCTTTTTTCATTAATATGACTTGTCACCATGTAGGACACTAATGTGGACGATGTAGACTTTGCTCCTCTTCCTGTGAGGTTTCTGGTGGGCTGTCTGAGAAAGCAGAAGCAGAAAAGTAAGGCAGAAAGGTAAATGGTGGAGAAAGAAAAGAGACGGAGAAAAAGGAAAAAAAAAGAGAGAGAGGGAGCAAGTCTGTGGTCTTCAGGTTGAAATGAGAAATATGAATGGTGATCTAATTCCTGTCTTGCTCTCTGCCACGAATCACAATGTTAGCATTGGAGGTGGGGGTTGGGTCAATAAAGAGCACAACACCCAACATTTTCTAGTTCTCAAAACAGTTTTCCAGACTCAAAATTTTCTATTCTACTAAAAATCTTTTGAAGTGGTATTCTAAGAGTATAGTTCTCATGAAATATTAGCTGTATAATACTTCCCTTGAGGACATCTTTTTTAAAGTAGATACTTGGATCTACCTTAGCTCCAGAAGAAACTTTCTTCTATTGACTAGCAACCCACACATCAACCTGTACACCCCTGTCTACAGGCATTTCCAGTGATTGATGAGAGAAGCCTGGAAATATAAATAAATGAGAAAATGGCTTCTCATATTGTCCTAAAAAACCTGTTAATTCATGGAACAAAAATCATCTGTTTTTGACATACTGTAAAATTCAAAATACTAATAGTGCATTTAAATAGTTTAATAAATTGTGTTTGGCAAGACTGTGTACCCTCCATTTGTAATGAAAACTTAACTTGCAAATAAATTAAAGAGCAGAGAAATGTTTGTTGCTGAGCATCTATTCTGTGCAAGGCACTAGAAATAGCAAAATGAGTAAGGTACAGCTATAATGTTCGTTTATTTAACTCTATGGTACTTATATACTTAATAACAGATACATTTTCCCCAAATATTTTAACTGTTTTGCCACGTATTTTAAAGACTGAATTATTACTATTTTCCTGTCCATACTACTTAGTGAATAAATGAATATGTGGATTATCACTGTAAGAAATCTATGATACTGTGTGTTGTCAATGTAAGAATAAGTAATATTCTCTTCAATGCCTGGTGAGTGAATGGGTTTGAGTTGCTTTTTCTTAGCAGACAAACCTTGTAGTTCTCAGTTTACAAAATCTATTTTAAGAAAGACCAAATTTAATCATTCCATAATCATAGTCATCTACAGTTAAGTTTGTCTTTTTTCCTGACCTTGTCTTTAGAAAAAAGTCATGAAAGGGAATTTTCAAAAAAGGAAAGAACAGGATATCTTGTTATTTTTAACTCCAAGCTACCTTAATGCATGGTTTCCTTTTATCACAGAATAGAATAAATGAGAGATGCTATTATCATTTATTACTGAATGTTAATGCCATTCCCAAAAAGCCAATTTCAAAGTTCTATGATAATCATTCTCTCAGTTAAAATTGGGATTTCGCCCTGTTTTATTTTTCTTTGCACCTAAACATATTGACATACTATACATTTAGTTATACCCCAGTGTTGATGCTAAGTTAGTCTTTGCAAAAGCTTTTCTTTTTTTTTTTTTTTTTAAAG